CTACTCATAGCGTCGGTCATTAGACTGAACTGGTTTATTCTTTCTAAAGGTCTTGTTGCAAAGGCTTAGAAGGAACTTCAAATTTTTTATATGCATTTTTTATGAACGGTTTACATCTCTTTTGGCAGAGTTATTTTTTCTTTAAATTTGTTTCTTCGATCCTTTTCTTAAGAATTTTAAAACAATCCTTTGATAAATTATTCTATTTTGATATTTATAATCCCTTGGCATTTATTATTTCATGAATACACGCATTTACTATTATCAAAATCTTCAAGTTGGTTCTTCGTTACCTCATTTTTTTCTTTTGGGGTTTTCAATAGAAAATTTAAAAATTGAATAATTGGGGTGTAAAAAACGAAATTGAAAAATACTTTTTAAAGTGTTTCACAATGATGAAGTAAAACTGAGACCATTGGGAATATAAGGAGGCATTTCTTTTTAACTTTCAAAACAATCTTTTTGGTGTTTCAAATTAAAATATCAATTGGTTTAATTTGTGTTATGTTTTTCTTCTTTTTGGTATTTTATTTACTTTGAGTACAAAACAACTTTGAATTAAAAAAATCAAATGTTTTTAATTAAGTCTTCTTCTATTTTAAGTACTCTTAACAGTTAATAATTAATACTTGTTTTTCAATTGAAAATCTTAATTAAAAAGTGGCAATTTTTTTATTTCGTTATTGAACGATTTATTGATTTCTTTAGATCAGCATTAGTCCCGATGTCTAACCATTTATTACGACAATTAAATATCCAGAAGATATAAATAAAGAAACCAGATTCTTTGTTTTAGTAGTATATTGAATTATTAATTTTATTATCGATTATAGTTTTATAAATAACATCCACGTCACAACGGGATTATTGTAATAAGTCTTTAATAATATTTGTTTAACAGTGTTGATTATAAATACTTATTAGGACTGTGGCAAAAGATCTTTTATCATTTCACCCTTATAAAATGATTATTTTTATTATTTACTTATTATTATTAAGTTAATTTATATCACATATTTCCCGAAATAAACTTAAATGAACAAACAGCGTTGAATGATTACACAATCAGATGACAAACATTCTCTATAACCTTTTGTACAATTTTACTACCTTTTTCTATGTGGATAGCTTCAATCCTATTAGTGTTCTTTGATATGTACTCTAACATGTCTTTCCCAAGTGCTTCTATTTGTTGTTGACCCAAGTAGACTCCATCGCTCCTTTTCATACAGACCACCCTTTCACTCCTGAAAGTCTTATGTGTTTCCTTTGCAAATCTGGTGTTCAACGAAAACCCGTTTTCCAAAGCAATATCAATAAGAAAGTTACTAATGAATGTGTGGAAATTTTTATCGAATCTCTTATGTGCTGTGTTTCTCGACATTTTCTTTTCGTCGATATCAAAGAAGTGTAAACATTGTTGGAGAGCCAACTTGCGTACATTGACTGGCTCCTCTTCGTTCACCTTTATTGAAATTATTCGTGGTAGTTGTGTACAATTGACTTTATGAAATTTAGATGGTTTGATCTCAAAAGAGCAGTACTTACTCAACAAAGCAATTAATGACAGTTGTTGATATGTTTCATAAAACTTCTCTCTACGGCTCTTTTGGAAGATAGTTTCCATTGATGTCGAAAAAGTTGTACCACAAGTTGGTTCATTTTTGTTGTCATTTCGACTTGAGACTCTTCTTCGAATTGGACTCTCTTTTCTTGGCGAATCAAAAGATATTCCAGTCAAGAGCAATTTGTCTTCTTTTTGAATAAAAATGCTTTCTTGTCCACTCTTCAAAGTCTTTGATTGAGTTTGGATGCAAGTGAGAGTGAAGGGTCCAAGATATTCATCGTTATATTTTTATAAGATCAACACCATTTTTAGCTATTATATAATTGGATCATCCATAAAACTGGTTTCTATTCCAACATCATCCAACTTGTTGTTTCCTATTTTTTTATTCTAAATAACATCTAGTAATTTTATTATTAATTGTTTTAAGAGTAATTTACTATTTATTATTATAATTATAATATATTAACAAAAACTATAATAAAGTTTTGTATGTGAAATACAAAAATTAACTACTAATTAAGCAATAGGTCTTTTTCTCATACAACTACTAATAGTGAACCATTAACAAAATCCCATGAGTTCTGTGAATTTCTTGAGCTTTTCTGCGATCTCGGGGTTCTCACCACTCTCCTCCGATTCTGATTCCAAATCTGATTTATCCAAATACAACCAACTCAGTGTATTCCTTATATTGTCCAAATTGATTCCTTTTTGGTTGTTCAATGTCAACTCCTTTAATTCAATGTCTTGGATATTCTCAATAACTACTCCTTCACAATACTCGACAGACAATTTTGGTAACTTCGTCGGCAATAACACTTTCAATTGCGATGACGAAGCAAATGATATCCATTGGAGTTGCTCGTACTTTCTTAAGTCAACAGAACATCCATTTCCGTCGGTCGTGGTGACCAAAAACCTCCTCAGCGATGTGGGGAGCTCCATTTTTAAAAAGTCAAAGTGGACTCGACACGCCTGAAACGTCTTCAAATTATGCAAACTCGCCAATTTGACCAAATCGCTCTCATTTGCAGAACACATGAATAACTCCTCAATGCTTAACCCACTTTTAAGCTGCCCGGGACCACAAACCAAATTCTTCAAATTGCTCGGATAGTACTTCTCGATGTCACAATTGATTTTTACAACAGACATGTCGACACTGGTAAGGTCTTTCAAACAATCCAATGACACTGATATGTCCATATTGTCCATCATTAATTCTTGTAACCCTTCCAACATCGTGACTTGGTCAAAACTCGTCCGACTCATCCCACACATTTTCACACTCAAGTTCTTGTCTGTCATTTGTATGTTACACTCCCGCAACTCGAGTCTTCGAAGTGTACTTGGAACACTCAAATTCCCGTCGTACTTTTCCACTGACATTTCAAGAAGGTTGGGAAGCACTTGTGTTGGTGGTTCGTCCACTTGGAGCTGAGTGATCCCACTTGGCAAACAGAACTTCGACTTCTCTTCGTACTTCACAGACTTCAAATCAGTGAACGCACGCAAGTCGATTTCACCACCATTTTTCCCAATAAAGTAGACCTTTGTTGGTAACACTCTTTTGAGAACTCCGGTGTCAAACGCTTCGACTTGGTCAACCTCAAACATGCCATCAGTGTACAACGGTGTGACATGGAGTGGCATCGTCTCGTACATGTACTCCATAGTCAAATAAAACTTCTGTGATATATGGGGAATGTTTTTAATGGCTTTACCCAACTCGACGTCACAATCGAAAACAACTACCATCCTGTCGATCGGCATCTTATCCGCTTGAATGAGAAAGGGTAATGAATTTGGTTCGGACAACTTCACTTTGACAAAGTCGAAGTGGTGTGTTTTATCAGTGAAACAGGAGATGTAGTCGTCTTCATCGATTACTAAAGAGACTCTCCGTAAATTGGGAAATTGCGAAAGGTCAAATGGCTCGCTCGAGACAACCGACATTGAAACAATCTTTGCTTTATCTTCCTCAGAAAAGATATCTGGCGAGTTAATAGTAGACAACCCAATTACAATGTTCTTGATGTGCTTCGGTAGGATTCTTAAAAGACCCATCGAAAACATTCCCGATGAAAATTGGTATGTTTGAAGGTTTGGGAATAGTTTCAGTTCTGATTTGATTCGCTTCACTAAGTCGATTTTATCGTTTGAAAAGACGTTACACAAAGATGTTGTCGAGGGGGTGTTCTTTCGAGGGAAAATAGGGTTGACCTTCAGGATCAAAAGTACCTCTTGACACTTCTTGCTCACTTGGGAAAATAATTTGACAGTGTCCAAGCAATCGACGTATAAAATCACGTTGGCCAAAAACACTTTCTCGAGCATTGTATGATGTCTGTTATTATTAGTTGTCTTTTAAAACTAGTGATTCGATTGGCTTTTTTATCTTTGATAAACAACCAATAATATAGTTTTTATAATATAGTTATTATTATTTTTATATATAGTTAATTTTATAATTTAAGAATTATAATTACTGGTATTATTTTTGAAGTTATATTACTTAATAATTTGTCTAATATACGGGAAACTGCGAATATACAAATCGGTATATGAATAGTTTAATAATAATAATAATAATAATAACTTAAATTTAATCACCCCGAAATAATAGGGAATTATATCGTAACAATACAAAAACTAAAATTTTGAACCATAAAAAGACATTTTAAAAAAATCTTTATATTATAATAAATGGTATAATAAACCAATAAAAACCCTAAAACAAGATTAGTGAAAAAAAATGAAAGCACCGAGAAGATAAGAGAATTTGTTCGAATTTGACGAAAAAATGGAAATAAAACATAAAATACGCATTTGCTGATTGTTCATTCTATAATATGTAAAATATATATATGAAAGAATAGATTAATGCAAAATTAAATTTCAGTTACTATTTAATTAAGAAAAACGAATGCTATTTTTAGTGGGATATCGTCTTTATTTTCGGGAAAATTTCTCCAAACTAAATACAGAAATAATAACAAGAGTTGATATGGTTTGTTAAACACAAATTTGTGTATTTATATTATAAAGTTTATACCAAATTGTGTAAAATGGTTAAATCTCGTTCGATATAAATTTGATTAAACCAATTGTAAATAAAGACATAATGTAATATGAATAAGGTCATTGTTAAATAGTGTCATTTTAAACGCCACATTCGGGTATTTCTGCTTATTAAAAACGAATAATTTCAACACAAATACGAATTCCTTTCAAACTTTTCTAACTGTTTTGATTCTTATTATGAACTATGAAACTCTGATGTATCAGATGGTGCTTTTTTTGTTCTGTGTTCTTTTAGTAAACGCGTCTGACTGTTATCCAAAATATCAAAATTGTCAAGATGGTTTTGTTTCATCAACATTTGAGCCTATTGCTTTCGAGAAGTGCTCTTATATATACATTAACCAATCTTTCACTATTGACTCTTCTTGTGCGTTTAATAAACTTGAACCAATTACACTAGTTCATTTTGTATTAAAGAGTGGAATATACATCTTAAATATCAACACAACTGATTTCGAACAGAAGTCGTCATTTATTGTGAAATCGGAAGCTGTTGTAACTATCAACGGAATTATCCACTTTGAAAATTTAGCAAGTTTTGATACGGAAGAGCATTCATTACTGATCATGAATGCATTGTATTCATTGGAAGGAAAAGATTTTAAAACACCGGAAAATTCAGTCTTTGAATTTGCAGCAAACATTTCTGTGAGTGATAATTCGTATTTGATTATATCTGAGAAGTCTTCAATAACAACAGACTGCTTATTTGTAAAAGACACATCAAAATTTTCAATTGAAACCACCGAACTTTTGAAAATCCAAAGTGTCACAGTAAGTGAAAATGGCACTTTTACATTAACAAAAAATTTGACTACCCTTCCCTTTGCCTACATTGAGTTAAAAAACAACTCAACGTTATATTTAAAATCAGTTAAGACATTATGTGATTTTTGGATTGAAGGTGACGCTCGTTTAATCATAGAACAATTCTCATACGTTGAAATAAGTGGTCTTTTTCTGGCGGTAGACAACGCGGTATTAGAAGTCATGGACTCTTCCACTTTGATATTACCTTTTGGGCTTGAACTTGGCTACAACGCCGTTTTATCTCTTCACAATGAAACATTGATAGGTGGTGAAATGGGTGAAAGTGAAATTCTTTTTAGGAACAATTCAATGACAAAAGTTGTTGGGAAAAAATCAAAAGTTCTTTTAGAGTCGTCTTTTACTTTTTATGATAACACAATTTTTGAACTTATCGATCAAGACGTAGAAATCACACAACCTATAACCTTCAAAGATGAGTCGCTTTTTATTACACAAAATGTGAACATATACACCGACAAAAACATCGAAAATGATATTCTCTTTTATAATAAAGCCAAAATGGAAGCAATGGATATGCTCCATGTCGAAACACTTCAATCAAAATTCATCTTTTCTGATTCCACTCAATTCATACAAACTGCTTGCTTTGCAGATTTTTTTATGAAAAAAATAATATTCACTAAAAATGCCTCACTTCTTGCAAACTATTCTACGTTTATGACAAATTGTCCTGTTGATTTCCAAATGACTTCTTTTTCAAATGTTTTTATCTCAGACATTTTCATTTCGGGGAGTATAAACGAGACTAATCTAAAAGTGATGAATACTGCCAATCTTACAATTTTACAAAGTACTTTTGTAGTGTATGGTAACACTGAAATCACAGGAAACACAGTTTTAACAATTGACAATACTTCATTGTTTGTTGCAATGAATCATTTGTTATTAGACCAACAATGTTCTTTACATATAACTGTTGGTGGGCAAGTACTAGTAGGAACGGGGCCTTCACAAAGTGGAGTTGATTACATTTCTTTGAATATCACTGAACGGGTGAGTGTATCACTTATTGGAGAACAATCAGTACAAAGCCAACCCTATTTTGAAGCCAAAACTGGTAGTATAGTAACCGACCTTAATACAATAATAGCAGATGGTTGTGTCAATATGTTTTCTTCTTTGTACGAAATACAGTCGACTTCATCCAATGTATTTTTGTTATCAAATGGGAGACTTGGAAGATATTGTGATCCTACAACATTCAAAAATAGTAGCACTTTCTGTGAATTACAATTCTCCAATTTTTTGTTTGGTAACTTCGATTATTCATTTTGCCCTTGTAACAACTACAAAGAAGAAAAATGTTCAATCACATTATCCACATGGATTAAAAAGGTCAATTTTGTTAAAAATAGTCCAAATGTGATATTCACATTTACAACACCACTTGAAGAGGTGTATATCGAAAACAAAGATGTAACCGACATTACATTTTGTGGGGACATTAAATCGATTTCATTTGGGTTTGGTATGAAATACACACAAGCAGAGTATATTAAAAATTATTGTATTATATCTGATGGGTATGATACAGTTTACTATAATCCATCAAAAATTGAGGCAGATGCCATTACACAAGAACAGTTACTTCAAATTGGAGAATACAATTTTGGATTCGAAAACACAAACTTAACTATTTTTAATATCACAAATATGAAATACCACACATTCAATTTTGATAATATTCAGAATGCTTTAATATATAGTATCTATGGAATAAAGTCTGTCGAAGAATATACATCTTCTTTGATTTACATTTCAAACAACATTTCTAAAAGTCTAAAGAAAATATCTATTACATGTGAAGAAGGTTTGTATCCAAACTTTGACCGTACAACGTGTATCCCTTGTGAACCAAATTGCAAAAAATGCAATTCGAAATCATGTGAAGTGTGTAATGATAACTATACTTTAAATAATGGGGTGTGTTTTGAAATGAATATGGACTGTTTGTATACACGAAATGATAGATGTTATTTATGTTCATCCGGATTTACAGAAAATGGTGAATGTATTTCATGCGACACAACTTGTAAAAGATGCCGTGGCACCCGTTGTGATATTTGCGAGCCTTTTGAACAAACTTTAAATACAAATTCAACAAAATGTGTAACACAAGAATCTGCCCTTGTCACTTCGAATGTAAATATTATAGAATGTCAACCAGAGTATGTTGTAAACCACAACTTATGTGAAAAATGTGGTTCAATATATACAAATTGTGAACGATGTGAGAATGGGAAATGTTCGATGTGTTCTATTGGGTTCTATTTAAAAAATGGTATGTGTGAGCCATCCAATTGTCTCATTAAAAGTGCCAATGGAACTGTTTGTGAAGAGTGTATTGTTATGTATTCATTAAGTGAAAATGGATATTGTGTTTCTACGATTCAAAATTGTGAAAAATACATAAACACATATTGTGTGTTGTGTGCAATTGGATACTCAGTGTACAACAACACTTGTGTTACATACAAAATTCCAAATTGCAAGTCACAAGACGAAATGGGGTGTTCTCGTTGTTTCAATGGGTTTTACCTGAATAATTACGAGTGTAAAAAGTGTGACCCAAAGTGTCCTACATGTCAAAGTGAAGACATTTGTTTATCTTGTGTTGATGGGACATACCTTTCCAAACATCAGTGTATTGTTAACATCAAATTAGACGGGAAGTGCAAAGAGTACAACCCTGTAGGTGGTTGCATAATATGTAATGTGGGATATTTCAGAGAGAATATGAATTGCAAAAAATGCAACGAGACGTGTTCTACTTGTTTAGAAGGGGAAAAATGTACGGACTGTGGTTCAAACTACTTTATGGATACAGACTCTATTTGTCACTTAAAAAGCGAAATATCAAATTGCACCCAAATTTCAAGTAAATTTGGGTGTCTCTCGTGTGAAGCTGGCTTTTTTGTCGAGGATAGAAAATGCCAAAACTGCTCTTCAAATTGTACAATGTGTACATCACTTGACCAATGTCAAAGTTGTAATGACGAATATGTTTTAATAGATAATAAATGTTATGCCAAGTCAGACATAATGCGGTGCATTGAAGTGAAACAGAGTCAATGCACAAAGTGTGAGTTTTGGTATACCCCAAGGCACAAAGGGACATATTGCACGAAAAAGGCGGTGTGGTGGGTTATTGTACTTTGTTTATTAGTATTCTTAGTATTATCAATTGCGTTGTTGATACTTGTATATTTGAGCTTTGGGTGGATGTACGCCAAGCGTGTTGAGAAAAAGCAAGAAATCCAATGTTGTGTATTTGACATCGAGTCGAGTAACATCAACTTTAAGCATAAAATAACTAGGGGTGTCTTAAGTAACAGAAAATGTATCGAATTTGATGATTACAACACTGTCAAAATCAATGAAGAGCATCGCGAGTTAGTATGTATTTGTAACACCAACAAAGAGTCCATGAAAATTCAATTAACATCGGTGGATACAGATAGTCGGTATTTCTTCCGCACTAATCCTGAAGTGATCACTTTAAGAAGTAGACACGCTTGTGAATTCGAGTTGTTTATTAAACCAACATGTTCATGTCGAATTGATACCAATGTTCTCGTTTCGTGCAAGAACATGAAAAGTGGGACAGAAAAGATGCGTACACTTAAGATCAAAGTATACAGTGAGTTATCGACTCGTCTCGACTTCAGTGAGATCATTGAAAACAAGAAAATAGGAGAAGGTTCCTTTGGAGTTGTGTATCTCGGGTACTTCCGTGGGAATAAAGTCGCAGTTAAACACATGCGGAACCGCAACACAGAACAAAAAGCTATGCAAGCCGAGTTTGACAAAGAAGTGACAATGTTAGACAAATTTCGATGTAACTATATTATACACTTCTTTGGTGCATGTTACACGTCCAGTCACATTTGTATGGTGACTGAATTTGCACCATGTGGATCACTCGGCGATGTTGTTAAAAACAAAGTCGAAGTTCGGCTCTGTGTTCGTTTAAAAGCATTAGCAGATGCTTCTCATGGGATATCATACCTTCACTCCAATGGGATATTACATAGAGATATCAAGCCAGACAACATCCTCTTGTTCACTTTAGATGATAGTTCTATCATAGTCTCTAAATTAACGGACTTTGGGTCTTCTCGTAATGTGAATTTATTAATGACTGATATGACATTCACTGCTGGAATTGGAACACCGAAGTATATGGCGCCAGAGATATTAAAGAAAGCAAAGTATGGTAAACCGGCTGATATCTATTCTCTTGGTATCACCATATATGAAATAGTCTTATTAAGAGATGTATATGGAATTGAGTACAAATACCCATGGAATATAGCAAATGCAGTGGTGTCTGGTAAAAGACCTAGTGTCAATGAAATGACACCAACGCTTGCTCGAGTTGTTGAAAACTGTTGGACTCAAGCAGAGTATGAAAGATGGGACATTGACAAGGTGGCATCTGAACTCGAACGAATCAACATTGGATGTTAGAAATTATTAATTTATAATACATTATACTATTATATAAAAATGAGTATCAATAACATTCTGAATAGAAAACCAAATTTAAAAATACTATTTTTGGAACAAAAATTAACTTGAAAAACAGGGGGAAGACTAAAATATGATGAATATAGTTATTAATAGTTAATAAAATATGCGAAATAGTAACAGGCGTGTGAACTGATTAAATGGTATATTATGGTAGTTTGAAGTAAATAAGAATAATTGGAGATCTAGAAAATAAAAAGTGAATACCGTTTTTTCACAAAAACAAGTTTCAAAATGAGGAAGTGGACCTTCGTCAAATTGATATATAGTTTTTTATTTAATTTTTTATGATTAAAAAACACAATAAAAAATAGTAAACAATATGATAAACAAAACTATAAAAAATGGTATTGTCAATCCACTCCAACAATTCAAAACAAACGTGTACACAAAACAGTCAAATTGCTTATTTTTATTTTAATATAACGTTTACAATTGAAATCTCCCGAAATGATGAGTTATTATATTTACAACTGATGTGATTATGACAAAATCTTCTTTAGATTAAGTTGACCGAATATCAGTTGTAATAGAGAAAACCATCTTTTGTAAAAAAGAAGAGCTAAAAAGGTTTAAAAGAATTAAAGGCAAGAAATAAGAAAGAAACACAAAGAAAAAAAAATAATAAACAAAAAGAACTTGAAAAGTTAAAATGTCTGGTTTATACCCTGGGTTTGTTTCTTCCTTATTCTATCCACTATTAACGCTTAGAGAACAAGAGTCTGACAACTTTAAAGTCGTTTTTACAGGAGATCCAATGGTCGGAAAGACGAGTTTGATATATCGGATGGTTGTTTGTTATTGTACTATATTTTAACTATAATTTTTTATTTTAATAGTTTGATGCACAAAATTAATTAAGTATGATAAAACGAACCATATAAATAATACTTGATTGTGTATAGTATTGTGTTAATAAAAGGACTCCACAAAGAGCGTCTAAGAAATAGAGCAACGAGTTCAAGGAAACGCTTCCGCCAACGGTTCCAGATGTGACGCCGTATCAAGTGAAAGAGAACAACAAAACGTATAATTTTCAAATCAACGACACGGCTGGGCAAGAGATCTATCGAACGGTCACATCCAGCTACTACCGAGGGTGCAGTGGGATCTTTTTGGTGTATTCACAGAACGATGAGTCGTCGTTCAAGAGCTTGTCGTCGTTTTATAGTGACATAGTGACTTATACACAAGAGAAGAAGCCACTGATAGTTATTCTAGCGAATAAGTCTGATCTGGAAGAGACCGTCAAACTCGAAGAGGCAAGAAAGTTTGCAAAGGAAATGATGTCGAAGGACAAAATAAAAATAACTGTGGCGCAGGTGTCAGCGAAGACTGGTGAGGGTGTGACGGAAGCTTTAAAAACGATGGTCACCGATTTAATGAACGGGAACATCTATCCACAAAAAGTTAAAAAGTCTGGGCCTTGTGTTCTTTTGTGATAATTTGATTTGGTGTTATGTTGTTAAGTCATTTGTCGTCTTTTTCTATTCCTGTGGTGGTTCTTTTTACTTCAAATGAACAATTTTTTTCAAAAGACTTTTGAAAAGGAAAAATGTGGTTTTCATTTAATTCATTGTAATTAAAAAGAAATTGGAAGAAGACACGTCGACATGACATGACTGTTCAAAAGTATTGGAAGTAATTGATTGGATGTTGGGGTTGAATAAAACTAGATAAACATAGTTTTTTATTAATATTATATACTACAATTGTTGTTTTACAATCATTTCTAATTACATGATAACTATTGTGATTATAGTATTATTATTACATAAGTATTACTCACAAGATGAGTTATCAAAGAAAAAAAAATGAAAAACATTTGTTAATATTTGTGTTTTTGTAAGAAAAAAATATTTTTTAAAATTTTCTTTATTAATAATTATAATTAAATAATCATTACTAATATGGACTCGTTGAACACCTCAACACTACTGGATGTCAGCGAATTGCTATCAACCATCTCAGCAAACATATTACTCGACTTACCAGTATTTTGCGAAGACACAACAGAGCCTTATTTCAGAGCACCAGCATCATTTCTCCCCATCAGGGAACGGAGGGAGGAGACACTTCAGAACAGTGTACCTTTATTACAACTCCCCGGTACAACGATCCGAGAGATATTAAAAACCCTCACCGCGGAGGACGCAGTTTCTCTCGGGTGGAGCTGCCGGCAGCTCCACGGCATCATCTTTGGTACGGAAGGCGAGTTATATTGGGAACAGCAGCTTCGTGTTCTTCAACCCTCTGAAAGTCTTCTCCGAGTCGCTTCGAAGCCTGCGGAGACTTATCGACGGTGCGCGACGATGCGACGCCACTGGAAGCAAAGTCAGTACACGCAAAGCACCGTCGAAGGGCATATGAGTTTAGTGAAGTGTATTGAATTAGATGGGACGCGTGGCGTTGTAGTGACAGGGAGTAGTGACAAGAAGGTGAAAGTGTGGAAAATTGATGGGAAGTCGTTAATTATGGGGAAGACCATAGCTGGACAGAATTGTGGAGTTGTTGGGTTGGACTTAAAAGGTGACGACTTACGCATTGGATACAAAAATGGAGTCATAAAAGATGTCAATTTGAGCTCTGGGAATTCACAAGAATTTGCTGTTGGATCGACCGTGACGGGATTCACGTATTGTGGGGAGGTAGTTGTTGGGTATGAACGGACGGTTTCTTTATATGACGCAAAGACTCTGAAGAGTGTTGGAGAATACAATTTACACCGACGACCGGTGTCATATGCGAAATTATATACTCCACAAATGGGAACTTCTGCTTCCTTTGATAAAAGTGTGGACTTCTGGGACCTTAGAAAACTCGACATGACTGCTATAAGGCTAAAAGGACATCACGCGGGCGTCAACCATTTCGACTTTTGTAAAGAAAAGATCATCACTGCTTCAAACGACAAAACATTAATGGTGTGGGATATTAGAAAGCCCGACGTCCCTATTAAAACTCTTCAAAACCACACCGCAGAAGTTATCTATGTTAGACATCAGAATGATAAAGTTGTTGCATCTTCTAAAGATATGACTCTCTCTATTTTTAACGATAACGACTTCTCACAAATCGGAATGATCAACACAAGATCGGTTGTCTCTTCTTTTATCTATGACGACCAATTCATGTTTTGTGGGTGCAGCTCGGGAGAGATACTTATGTATGACTATTCCTAACTGTGTTTTCCGTTTCGTTGATTCTATATATTTATAGTTCATGTATAGAATGTGTTTTTTGTTATTAAAATTAACGAGTCGTTTTTATTAAATGAGTTTATGAAATTTACTAATAAAATATTAATATTAAACTTACTCAACAATATTCAATCCACTGGTTTTAAACTATATAATTTAATATTATTATGGTATACAATTAGTACATAAGTAAAACAAGTTTCTATTAATTCAAATGTTCAAAAAAGTTGATCTTTTTGGGAAAATTCTCGAGTGAACAAAATAATCAGACTATGTCACTTGTTTGTTTAGTTTGACCCTTTTCTTATTGAAAATTAACAATAAGCTTTCACCACAAAACGTACCTTTAAAGCTCAGTGGTATCATGTCAAAAGTGAAACCTCTCGGTGACATGATATTAGTTCAAGGGTACAACACTTCTTCGATTGGGGGTATCGTCTTGGCAGAACAAAAAGATGAAAAGTTTAAACAAGGTGTCGTTGTTGCAACTGACAAAACAAATCTGTTTGTCCTTCAATTCTTCATACTCGATTCAAAACACTGAAAGTTGACTAAAAGCAAAAATCCATTGAAAGTCGGAAACCATATAGTTTTCGGTGGAACACCAGCAGCCACTTTCTTGGCAGACAACAAAAAGTATTCCCTCCTCAAGTACCACGACGTCTTTGCTAAAATTGAATAACATTTTAATAACAATTTTAATAACATTTTAAATAACATTTATGTTTATAAACTTCTTTATTAAAAAAACATTTTCAAAAACAAAATAAAGACGTACAATTTATTTCTTTTCGGACGAGTCACCCCGCTTCAGTCGACTCTCATGTGAATCACTTCTTTCTCTTCTATACCTGTCGTGTGTTCTTCTTTCACGTGAATCACTTCTCGAACGAGAACGATAATGACGATCGTCTCGACTTCTCCTATATGAATCTCTATCACTTCTATCTCTTCTTTCATCATTCTCATACCTTCGTCTCCTTTCTTCTTTTTCTCGCTTACGCCGAGACAATTGATTTGCAAAGAGTCCTCTTTTTAGTGAAGGATCGGGTTCAATAACATGAATGAAATTACATTGGCCACCACGAGTACAAGTTCCTTGTTCTTGTTGTCTACAAATTGCCTCTCTAAAATCAGTGACGCGACAAAATGATGGTTGAAGCATTTTACCAGCATAGTATCTTCCAGTTAACTCGTCTTTGGCCTTTTTGGCTTCTTCTTCTTTGGTATATTTGACGTAGACGTTACCCATCATGTGGTCGTTGTCATTCCCACACACTATAAATTCTTCGACCTCCCCATAATTCTGAATCTGACTAAATACATCCTCATAAAACTCATTGAAATCATGCCGCATCTTTTTCTCGTCTTTTTCAAGACCTTCGCTTTCGTCGATTCGAATTTTAGGGTTTTGGTACATTCGTGTGAATAATAAAGTCTGACTACTCTCGGGACGGAAGTGTTGCTTTTTACACGAATCTCCATGACGACACGCTCCAATTTTAAAGAAAAAGTCGCAGATCGGCTTTTCTTTGTTGGGACGGTCGGAGCCTTGAGGTTTATCGGTCGACATTAATAAATTGGTTTTAATAGTATTTTTATTATAAATATGTTTTGTTAAGTTATATACAATATATTTTATTGTTTTTTTAATACAAATGTAGAATTAAAAAAGTGATTAAAATGTATTAATAATACAGTATTATATTTTTATTTATTTATTATTATACTTGATGATTATTTTAATTATTTTAACTCTTTTTATTAAATAAAATTACAATTATTTTTGTTGGTGTTTATAATTAACAAAAATATAATATGAAAATAATGTTTTATATTAATAAATTGTTAAATAATATTCATGTAGTTGATTTATAAAAAAAAATATTATATTTGGTTCATAATAATAATGATATTGTTTGACAAGAATAATTCAAAAATCAAATTTCAAAATTAAAGTGAAATGATTTTTTTTCACTTGACTAAAATAATCAAGTGAAAAAAAATGTCAAAAATATAATATAATTAATAAAATACTTTTAATTATTTAAACTTATTAATTTCCCAAAAATATTAAGCCCGATATTTTTTCAATCTGGAAAAAAATTAAGATTGATGGGTGACGAATTGGGAGAGTTAAAGAATGTTTTGATAGAGAAATTGTTTGAGTGTTGTTCTTTGAGTAGTGAGTATAAGAAGAGTGACATTCTTGAGTTTTACGAAGAGTGTGCTGATGACAAGAATTATATATCGGGATTTATCGAAGAAGTTGATGCAATTAATAAGAAGATAACAACCGATAAAACACCAAAGAGAAACACACACTCAAATACCAAGCCAGACAACCTACTCCCTAACACTGAAACTACCCTTCAATTCCCTCAAAAATCTTTACAATCTTATTCGTTTCAAATTCCCAAACAAAAACAAAGCATACCTCAAATAGTGAAGCTCAACCCTATAATCACAACACAAGAAACATCGATGTTTAAATCCCAGAAACCAAATGAGTACTTTAAGAAGGTGCCGGAGATACATATATTACCAAAAACTCTTTTTAAAGACAGTGACACCTTCTTACCAAACCACTTCGCGATGACCAAAAAGTCACTTCTCTATACATCGACGTGTTGTGCGAACTATCCCCAATTTGAATTTCTAAGGCTCAAAATAGGGAGCGAGTTTAATTTAAAACAATGCGAAGTGCAACTTGATATTGACTTAATGTGTAGCAGTCAGTCATTGTATGACACCTTTTATAAACACACGTGGAAAGTTAATACGGTAATTTTCATAGTTGCAGATAACGAAGATTACAAGGAAGATGCTTTTGGGTGTTTTGTTCGTGTAGGATGTGTGTCATGTACATGGGTCAAAGACCCAAATATCAAATTGTTTAGTTTCATTGGCCGGGAGGTACAACTCTTTGGGTTAAAGTCGGGTGGAGACAATAAGTCCTTGTATCTCTGTGATGAAACAAATAAAGAAATTCTTTTTGCTGTTGGACTTGGTGAGTTTAATGACATTTTATTTCATAAAGGAACAGACAAGAACATAACACCAACGGTCTACTTAAAACCATCGGCTTTTAATTATATGGAAAAAAAATTCTTTGAACCAAAAATAGTAAGACCAAAACGCTTGATTGTAGCGAATTTCTTTTAATTGGTTATACTAAAAAGTAATAACAAGAGAAAAAAAAATGAATGTGAAAACAACAGATATGAATTGTAGTTGGGTGTTTCAAAACTACGAGACAGAAGAATAAATATATATTTTTATTATTACAATATAATTTATTTATTATTATTTACTGGTTAGTTTAATAGTATTTTAATTATAATTAAATAAATTATAACAGTTTCTAAAAATCATTTCTTCAAACAAAAATGACATGGATTTTTTTTGGTTATATCGGATCATTTCACGATTTTAAATTCAACAAAAAACACAATCTTAATTAAGTTATTTTCATTAAATCCGATATAAATTATTTGTATTATTTCAAAAAAAGAAAAAAGTTTATACTAATTAACTTAATATAAACAAGATTGATGAGCGACGAATTGGGAGAGTTAAAGAATGTTTTGATAGAGAAATTGTTTGAGTGTTGTTCGTTGAGTAGTGAGTATAAGAAGAGTGACATTCTTGAGTTTTACGAAGAGTGTGCTGATGACAAGAATTATATATCGGGATTTATCGAAGAAGTTGATGCAATTAATAAGAAGATAACAACCGATAAAACACCAAAGAGAAACACACACTCAAATATCAAGCCAGACAACCTACTCCCTAACACTGAAACTACCCTTCAATTCCCTCAAAAATCTTTACAATCTTATTTATCACCACAACAAGTGCCACTTCAATCCCTAATGTCAGAACAAGAAATGTTGACACGAGATAAACTAGTAGAACCACTAAATATATATTCCCCGCCATCAGACTGCTTCCTTAATCAAACACAACAAAATGTTCAAAACACTCCAAGTGAGATTCATACAGTACAAAGTTCGAAAGAAGTTGTAATTACTAATTTAGATTCGACCATTGAATACCTTCCAGAGAAGTTTGAAGAACTTTGCCATACAATAAACACGGAATGTGGCTTGAGTAATTACAAGATACTAGCAAACATTAATTTACATGTGGATACCGATCTATCTACGAATGACAATATTTATAAACCTTTCTTCGAGATCAATTGGACTAATCATGTGGCGATATGTATTGAGGCATTGACTGTAGACAACAAACTCGAAGTTTTTGGATGTTATGTCCCAACTCCACCAAAGCCTCGAACGTGGACAAAAGACCCCAATGTTCGACTCTTTAGCTCGTTTCGAGGGTTCAACTTCTTCGGACTGAAAGAGGGAATTACTTCACCAAATTCAATTTTTGTGTGCGACAAGACTAACCAAGTCTCCCTTTTTGCGGTGGGTCTGAATATCACAAATGACATCATCTTTGTAAAAAATAATGCAGGGAAACGAGAGCCTTTCGTGTTTTTGGAGCCATCGGTGTTCGACTATAAAAACGTGACTTTCTTCGAACCGAAAAAAGTCCACCCAAAGTGCCTTCTTGTTGTTTCTTTTTTTAAAGATTGAATATGGTATGAGTGATTGTAAGGTTGTTGTTTTATTTATTAGTTATTTAATTATTTGTAAGCAAT